ATTGTAATTCCTCCAACTCCAAAACGGAGGAAAAACGATCGTTCATCGAAAAGACATCCGCAATCTTCATTTAGATCTAATCTAGATCTAGATAATCTAGATCTAGGCTAGCCTCGAAACTAGACCAAGGATTTATGTCTGTCTGTCTAGATCTAGATCTAGACCTAGCCTAGGCCATAGATCTACTAGAAGTAGAAGAACGTAGGTCTACCCTGAGCCAAGAGGGCGCTGAAACTTTCCGAAATCACAAAAGAGTTCCCCTACCGGGTCTGTATACTTTGTGACTTTGTTCCCGGTTACCGGGTCTGTATACACTCCCTTTTGTCAATTAGGCTACAAATAACTGGATGGGATGATGGAATGACCGACATCATGCCTTCTATCTCTATACGAATAGAGGCCTATGGATGGATTATCGTGAAGCAGGATTCATCAATATAAATCAAATTAAGCACTGACCTGAGTAGGAAAGTAACGTTGTTATTGAAGTTATCGCTTACAACAGTCACAGAAATGTTGCCATTGGATGATTGGTCCTTGTGTTCTTGGTCTAGATCTAGACTAGGCCTAGATCTAAAGTCTAGAATCTAGATCTAGATCTAGATATATCTAAATCTAATAAAATCAACGGAGTGTCTACATACACAGTAACCGGGCTCCTAGATCTTATCTCTATATCTACCTACACGACGGTAACCAAGCACGTAGTCCTAGTCTCTCCTAGACTCTATATCTACCTACACGGTAACCGGGCACCTAGTCTCAGTATCTACATACCAGTAACCGGGCACCTAGATATCTAGTCTTAGTATCTACGTACACGGTAACTGGGCACCTAGTCTCAGTATCTATGTACACTGTAAACCGGAATGAAAATAAATCAATATTTTGTCCTGTGCTGTCACTTGCTGAAAAAAAAGAAAGTTCATACAAGTAAGTAAATGTCTTGTCGGGCTTGCCATCGTGACCGGCCAGTGAACCTGTGCGTGCGCATCACATTTTGTGAGTTCTGGTTGGGGTCACCAAGGTTCATTCAAAGTCTGTGCGCTGCGAAGTATAGGGCTTCGGAATGGGGGAATTATTGACTTTTTTTTGAAAGGCAAGTGCTATTGGCAATGCCGCATTCTGAATAGCTCCCGTGCTATTTGAAACGCCAGTATTAGAATCTAGATCTAGATGTAGTAGCCTTATTCTGATCAATATTGGGTAGATCTTAGATGTAGATTTAGATTAGATCTAACAATTGTTACTGACATTGTTTGCACAAAAGTAGACGTCTTGTTCATCTCTCATTATCATAATCATTTGAGTTAGAGTTTGAGCAAGTTTAAGTCGAAAGACGCTTGGATAACAATAAGAAGACGGTGCAACTCGAACTGTAAGTTAGGCCTAGAGAACGTATACAAGCTGTCTACTGTCTACGTTCTCTAAGTCTAATGTTCAGTGCTTCCAAGCGTGGCATGGAATCCCGGTCCCGGAAGGTTTTTTTTTCCCTTCTCCTGAGCCTAAAATAAAAAAAAAAAAATTAGACTCACAGACTAAGGAAAACCACTACTGAACTTTAACCAGGTCTAAATTGGTAAAAGGAAAAGTATAGGCTATACTAAGGCCTACTTTGTACAGAGCTCCTTTTGGGGACAAAACCAGAATGTGCATGCTTCATCACTACATTAAAAAAATTATAAAGCAACAAGATATAATTATGGGAACAATTTGTTGGTCAGTCGAGAAGAGGACAACAACAACAACAACAACAAAAAAAGAGAAATAAACCAAAAATGTCCAGGACAGGGATCGAACCCACGCTAAAAAAGTAATGGCTTGACTTCACAAGCGCAGACGCGCTGTCACTTCGGCCATCAGTACTTCCGATAAAGATGTGCAGATTAAGCTTCATGATATTTTAAACACGGCGACACAGCGTTTTATTTAGCACTTGCGCTAATCGCAACGCGGCATTGCAAATAGCACTGGCGCAAATCGCAGCAACGCAGCGTTGCAAATAGGTACTTCCTTTTTAAAGGTATAGTCGGGGGAGGGGTGGGGATGAAGGCAACACCGGATGACAAAAACTGAACTTGGAGTTCTGAACTGTCCGGTTACCGTGTACATGACACTGAGACTACGTGCCCGGTTGCCGGTTACCGTGTACGTAGACACTGAGGCCAGGTGCCTGGTTACGGTGTACATAGACACTCCGTAAAATTAAGTATTGTCAACAAACTTACTCGAATTAGGATCTACTAATAATTTTAATAAATATATGCCCTAGGCCTATTACCGTCTTGTCTCTGGCAAGTGTGTGTGTTCCTGACATGATCTTTGTCGGCCTACTGTGTGTGTCGCTGTGCGTGTCACTGTGTGTGTGTCACTGTGTGTGTGTCACTGTATCTGTTGGTCTGTGTGTGTGTCGCTGTGTGTGTGTCACTGTATCTGTTAGTCTGTGTGTGTGTCACTGTGTGTGTGTCACTGTGTGTGTCGCTGTGCGTGTCACTGTGTGTGTGTCACTGTGTCTGTTGGTCTGTGTGTGTGTCGCTGTGTGTGTCGCTGTGTGTGTCACTGTGTGTCACTGACATGACCTCCTCTATGTATCTCTAGTGACGGTGGTGAGCGCGGTACTCATGTGCGTGCTGTTTGTCTCGGAGCTCAACTATTACCTGACCAAGGAAGTCCACCCGGAGCTGTTTGTTGATACGTCCCGAGGCCAGAAGCTTCGCATCAACATAGACATTGTGTTCCCCAACATGGCCTGTGCTTGTGAGTGGTTACACACACACACACACACACACATACACACACACACACACACACACACACACACACAATTTTAAGATTGCGATGCACATTTTAATGATCGTATAATTGTACAGCAATCAAAAGATTGCGTTAATATTTTATATTATTGAAATTTAAAAAATTCAATTCCATCTTTATTCTTTTACTCACATCAAGGAACATTCACATACATTTTCTAAAGTATATTAAAATTTTCGTATGAAACTGAAGAGCCCACAAGAATGATACAATGTCAGGTATCAAACTCATTTTAAAAAATATTTTTTTTATTAATTCACTTCTGTCTTTATTATTTTACTCACATCAAGGAACATTCACATGTATTTTCAAAAATGAAAAAAATATAAATTAAAATTGAAGTTTAAATCAAAATTAAGAAGATGTGAAACTGAAGAGCTCACAAGAATGATACAATTATACAGTCGTTACTTGATTGCGCCGATAGGTAAATTGTTCAGAACATATATACACACAACACAACAACACAGACATACGTCAATATATATCCATCCATCCATCCATCCATCCATCCATCCATCCTTCCATCACCCACCCGGGCAGTTCTACTGGCTGAAGTGTCTTTAGGCCATTCCCAAAGGAGGGATATTAACATGTTCTTATGCACTGTAGAATTGTATCAATATCATGCTCATACTGTCACTCTGTGCAGGAACAACATAGGGGGAACTGCTGCTTTTTCTTTCCTCATCCTTATTATCGTCCTTTTCCTCTACTTCTTTTGAGTGTTTGTCACTCTCTTGTGAACTGCTATTTCCGGGGTGCCTTGATAGTCGAAGCAGACTTTGTGCTGTTGAGGCTAGAGAGGTGAGCAGAGTAAGTCTGATTGAAATTCCCTGTTTGGACTTCTCTGTTGACATCCACCCCTTGGCGCTCATATGACCTTATGCAGTTGCGAGCGCCGTAAAACCTTACCCTGTGTTCCCCCTCATAGTTTTCCTCTTCCCCCATGTTCTCTTGTTCTCTTCCCCCATGTTCTTTTCCCCCATGTTCTCTTGTTCTTTTCCCCCATGTTCTCTTGTTCTCTTCCCCCATGTTCTCTTGTTCTCTTCCCCCATGTTCTCTTGTTCTCTTCCCCCATGTTCTCTTCCCCCATGTTCTCTTGTTCTCTTCCCCCATGTTCTCTTCCCCCATGTTCTCTTGTTCTTTTCCCCCATGTTCTCTTCTCCCACGTTCTTTTGTTCTTTTCCCCCATGTTATCTTCCCCCATGTTCTCTTGTTCTCTTCCCCCATGTTCTCTTCCCCCATGTTCTCTTGTTTTCTTCCCCCATGTTCTCTTCCCCCATGTTCTCTTCCCCCTGTGTCCTCCCCCCTCATAGTTCTGCTCTCCACCCCCCCCCCAGTTCTCAGTCTTGACGCGATGGACGTGAGCGGCGAGTCCCAGATCGACGTGGACGGCAACTTGTTCAAGCAGAGACTGGACCTTGGCGGGCGGCCCGTGGACGAGGCACCGGAGATACACAGTCAGACTTTGCTGTTTGTTGTTGGCATACAGACTTTGCTGTTTGTTGTTGGCAG